CTCTCCCGAGATAAAGGGAGAGCTTTTGGGACTCTACTCCTATCCAGGAGTACTCACCTCGACCCCTTCTCCCGGGGCACAAGGTTCCAAGCCGCTGAACAGCTGCTGACCGCTGTTCATGCTGGCTCTGACGCCTTCCCAAGCGGACGGCTCCGAAAAGAGCCGCCATCGGCGCGCCGTCCCACCGGAAGTCCCCCAAGAAAATAAGAGTTCTAATGAAGAAAACCAAACATATATTTTCCACCTCCAACTTTGGGCAACCAGATGCCTCCAGGAAATTCTTAAATAAAGTTTAAAATACTGTTGCTTATAATCCCTGGCTCCTGGAATCCCAGTGACACATTGTCTTTCCACTGGGCTATTGCATCTAATAATCATTAGTAGTTTTTAATGAATTTCTGTAATGCTCTTTTTTAGAACCATCTAGTGGCCATCAAATCATTCAGTTCCACCAAATTCCATATACATCTACAGATAAGCCAATTGTGAGAATGGAATCTGTTAGGGAAAACAAAATTTATTCATACAAAATATGAAAACAAAGTCTTTCAGAATATATTGAAAAGCATACAAAATATTCAAGAGTCAGGAGACTCATTTTTCATGGAATTTTGGTTAAAAATTTGAGGGTTGACTTCTCCATGTATGGGCTGATCCATGAGTGTATATTGTAATATCCATATCTTCCAGGGTTTTTATACTCAGATGTTTAGTTGGGTTCACATGCAAAGTTATCACATTTTCATTGAATCCAACCCATGAGGCAGTTGTCTTAAGCTTTTCTGGCACCCAGGCAACGTTTTCCCCTTTAAAAAGCCAACAAATTGTAACAATTTTATCATGGGAGCCCAGAGCATACAGCATGGTGAAGTAAAACAGAGAATGGCTTGAGCACACAAACCTATTTGTTTGTTTGTTTGATTAATTTTTACACTGTCATTCTCACCTAAATTACTCTGGGTAGTCATCATAAAATAATGTAAAAACATGACTTAAAAGCACAGTTAAAACCAGACTTCTAAAAAATCAAGGTTAAAATTTATAAATTAAAAGTTTAAAAAAATCAAAGTTAAGAAATTAACATGGCTAAGGGGTTAACAAGGTGGAGGGAGTACCCTTAAGCCACCAGCCATCCCCAAGGTTGCATCACACTCTGATCCTGCCATGTCAATTGGCAGAGCCAGGTCTTAACACTACTCCAAAAGGCCAAAGGAGTGGCAGCCCATTTTATCTCTTAGAGTAAAATATTCTAAAGGATGGAGGCAACTGTTCTTAGATCCTGCCAGTTGAAATTGTTGGGCAGGTTGCTTTGGAACATGATTAGAGTGCACTTCGTGTTTACACATCATTTGAACAATACCTGACAGGTTTGGCTGTGTTATTATCGCACATTTTGTATATAGTGTCTTTTGTTGTCATCTCTATTGGCATTCCTATTGTGAAGCCTTAAAAAACAAGAATACCCTCTTTTTCTCATTCAAAATATTGCTACCTCATTTAGCAATAAGTAAGCAGAGAGGTTGATGAGGCATTTTTCCAGAATGAAGAACATATTCATATATCAACCCTGTCTTTTTCTTTCTAACATAATATATCTTTCCAGAAGCAAATTTGAGATATTAGAAATTGGAAAATCACAAAAATGGAAAACAGGAAGCTTTATACCCAGCCACACTTGTGGTTCTCTGGGCTGGCCACAGGTTTCCCCTTCCTCTTTTTAAACAAAAATTAATATAATAACTGCTAAGATGGTCAGTATCTCTAATAGTGTTGTTACTCAAGTAATGCTTTTTTTGCTTATTAGTTTTCCCCCTTATTCCAACACTGTTCAAGGACAGTTATAAGATATCTAAAAACATTCTACTAAAGTGTGCTGAGTACCAGGAGAAGTAAACAAAGAAGCGCTATTGTTTTTTTCCAGGCTGGTATGGGCAGATCCAATTCCTTCTTGCCCCCTCATTAGCCTCTTCTGCCATCATTCTGTTGTGGTACCAATGCAACATTGGAAACTCATTGGATTTGCACAAGGGCAGTAGACTGCTCTAGCTGGCAATGATAATTTGCCCAATAGTGTCCAAAGTTCAAATAGATAATGCTCTAGTGAACCTGCGGTATTTTGACAGAATGGGATCTGAGAAGAGGGGCAGACAAAACAACATAGTGATACTTGATGGAGGCCTGATGTCGGGTCACCCTATTCAGTTCCTGCATTAATGTGATTAATGATGGGTCGAAGAGGAAGGGCAGCAAGGCTGGTGGATTCAACCAAACTCTTTGTTTATCACAAAGCACACAAACAAATTCAGGACAATGCCAACTGGCAGTGATCTAGTACAAATGCAGTAGAATCTGGACAGGGATGGGGGTAACAGATGCCATGCCAGAAGCTTGTCAATAAGATTGCAACTTGGTAATCAGAAAGGTTCTACCTACTGTACCTCTTTCCAGTTCTTTAATTCCATCTTAATTATTTGGTTTATCATTTCTAGGTTGGATGAGGAGGAAGAATGGAAAGACTGTCCTGATTATACAACTTCTGGTGAAAACAGCTGTTACTTCAATATATCCTTCACCGCCGTTTGGGTCCCTTACTCTGTTCGGCTTTACATTGCAGATCAGTTATATGATGAAAAACATTTCCGGGTGGAGGATATAGGTAATTTTTTGATATAAATCTCCTCTGTTTTGCTTCGTAGACTAGAGCAAAAGTTTCACACACAAGTCTCAAAGTTCATAGCTAAATGTCTATGGAGATTCTCAGTTATCCAGGTCATGGTTGTCCCAAAGCTGCTTTTTCAAGAGGCAACTGGATGAAGATGTCACTTATGCTTCCCAGTTCCTGCCTATCTGTTCTTTATAACTTAGAGAAGCATGACTTCATTGCTCTTGTCTAACAGGTTTAGTTCAGGTTCAGTTTGGTTCTAGTAAGTTCTAGGTAGGTCTTCCCATAACAACAATCCTGTGGGGTGTGTTAGGCTGAGAGCAAGATCTAAAATCACTGTTCACCATTAGAGTGGCTCAATTCAAGACCCTATTCAAAATTAAAATAGCTAAATGTGAGAGCTTGAAGCAGATGTGGTCAGTACTCTACATAAGGTGGAAGTACCAGTGATGAAGAGAGGGAGCTGTCCTAGGTACAAGGGTGGCATCTTATTCAACTGTATGAAAACTATTTTAGGTTCATGTGTGTCCTGCCTCAAACTGGAAAACAATGCATTGGTACCATTTTTCAATAACTGTGCTGCCAAAATGTGACAGTCATATCCTGGGGAACATTAAGAAAAAGTTAATGGATTGTAATAACTTCTCAGATGCTATTCCTCATCCTGCCCTAGAAGATCACTCCTGGTCAGATTCCCAAGCTGCTTTTTATGCATAGGAACTACCCGTCCTCAACACAATTTCACAATACAGGTTCAATTTGTGCATCAAATATTTTAAGTATTTTAAAGTATACAATCAGTCTTTTCAAAATAATACTGTGTGTATTTATAATGTGTGTTGATGGGAGGGAGGGAGGGATGGATGGACAAGGTATACTGTTAGATGACCTTTTCTTTTACATTTTGATTAACTCTGTGAAAAATATGTTTAAATCACAGTAATTCCAGATCCTCCAGTTGGGCTGAACTGGACAGTGCTAAACACCAGCCCAAGTGGCGTCTATACTGATGTTCAGGTTACTTGGAAGCCTCCACCCTCTGCAGATGTTGACAATGGATGGCTCATACCTTTCTATCAGCTTCAGTATAAAGACGTCAATGCAACAGAGTGGCATGAAGTATGTATTGCAAGAGCAAAACTTAGAGACCTTCCCCAACCAGGGGCCATCCAGAGGTATTGGAAATGAGAGATAAACTAGAGGGATCTGCAAAAGCCTAAAAGCTTGTAATTTACATTTTGGGAAATACTTTGAAACCAATACCATAGGAACATCTGCACAGTTGCAAGTCAGTGAGTTATATGCTCATAGGCTCTATAAATTCACTCAATTTTGCTATGTAATATATATTGCAAGTGGGGCTAGCAACAAAATTTAATACTTCCACAATTCTGGATATCTCTATTTCTCATACTCCGTTTTCATACCTTGCCTCATGTATTCAGTATTTAATATTAATAAATGGAGATTCCACTATTATTAGACCTCTGATGTTTTCCCCTCTGCTTCTCTACATCCTTCTTGCATATGGATAAGGCCAAAGCACAGCTTGAACTTGAAAAATAAGCATTTTATGACATCAACAATATACACTTCAGCCATATAGTCCAGAAAATAAACTTGTACAATCAAGTTCACAGCCTGCCTTAAAAAAATGGCTTCACATTTAAGCATTAGTGTAATGTATTAGTGTATGTACTTACAGTATATAGATTCATAGAGTTGAGAGGGATCTTGGGGGGTCATCTAATCCAAACATTGCTCAGAGGATGCAGTAGAACATTTCTTAACAGTTGATCCCACAATTTCTTTGAAGACTTGTGGTGAAGGAAATGTCACCACAGTCATCCTGATGTTTAGCTTGAATCTGCTTCCTTACAGTTTTAACATACTAGTTTGCATCTTGCTCTCTAAGGTGACAAAGAATAAGTCCACTTCCTTTTCTACATAACAACACTTCAGATATTTGAAGACAGCTATCATATCTCTCCTCAGTCTCTTGTATAGTCTAGACATACCCAAAGCCTTTAACTCTTCCTCATAGGGCTTGTTTCTATGACCTTCACCTTTTCAGTAGCCCTCTTCCCAGCTCACTCCAATTTGTCACTGCCTTTTATGAATTGTAATGTCCAGAACTAGATATAGTATTCCAAGTGGGATCTGACCAGGGCAGAGTAGAGTGGCAAAATTATTTTCCATGAACTGATTTCTATGCTTCTGTTAGCAGTGTTTCTCAACCTTGACAATTTTAAGGCATGTGGACTTCAACTCCCAGAATTCCACAGCCAGCATTTTAAGTCCACATGCCTTAAAATTGTCAAGGTTGAGAAACACTGTGTTAATGCATCTCAAGATAGCATTTGACTTATTTGCAGTTACATCTCATCTCTGGCTCATGTTAATTTGAAATCAACGATGGCATCCCCAAACCCTTTTACATTTACTTTTATGAGCCATGTCTGTCCCATCCCATATTTGTGCCCTACATTTTTGTTAGCTAGATGCAGAATTTCTCCCTATAAATTTCTCTCCATTTCAACCCATCATTCAAACTACCTTTTTTTCTTCTAAAGTCAACCTTTCCAGTTTTGTATCACCTGCAAAATTCTTAAGTGTCCACTCAACCCTCATTCAGTTCCTTGATTAAAAAGTTGAAAAGTATTAGAACCACTTGCTGATACATTAGCTCTAATGCACAATACAGATTGAGGTAATATTCAACTTAATACATGATAAATATTTCCCAGGTGTTTTTTTTTCTTACATGTAATTAAGGATTCTGGGAATTGAAAACTATCATATCTGGAAAGCATCAGGTTAAATTTAAGAAAGATTGTTCTAGAATTTCAAAACAATCAGATCCTAATTCTGCCTCCTTGAATAAAGTTTTATGTTTAAAGAATGCTTTTGCTTATGAGTAGCAACAATCAGTTGAGGAAATTCAATGTATTATTACAGCTGGATCCAAAACGTGCCACCGAAGTTCCAGTATATTCTTTAAAGACATGCCAAGACTATGAGATACGGGTTCGAGCAAAAGGAATGCCTGGAGTTTATGGTGAATTCAGTGAAGTGCTGTATGTGTCATTTGATTTAAAAGGACTGGTGCCATGTGTGGAAGGTGAGAAAAACATCTATGATGTTGCCTTCAAAATATTTCGTTAACACCTCACATTGGAACTCACTACAAATTGCTGTATGCCCATATGGCTCATTAAGCATGAGATGCTTGAGGATTTGTGTGCAAACTTCTTCTGAACCCAACTTTCCCATGGGAACAGGAACCATTCACAGAAATTTTAGCCATGCTTTTTATCCCATTTGTGCTAGCAACTGAATTGGTAGCACTGGGGAAAAGAAGCTGTAATGTTATGTGAGAATGACCTTGAAGACGAGGGGAAGAGATGCTATATAGGGAACGATGTGTCAACAGAGGAAGAAGCCCCTAGTAGTTTAACGGCCAGAGAAAAAAACTTAGAAAGAACCTGCTCTTCTAAATCATCATGCTGTTAAACACCGATGGCAGGAGATTTGTACTTTTAGACTTGTAAGATTCTTTTGATACAGCCGTATAATAAAGTTGATTTAGCTCATCTAGTCGTATTTCTCCTCTGCTTCACCTGGGAGGACTGACAGAAGCTATCATGTAAACCAGGGGTGGGCAATTCATTTTCCCAAGGGGCCAAAAGGGAAACTGGAACTGTTGTGGAGAGCCAAACTAATAGGGCTGATGCTGCCCAAAGGCAAAGGGCCAGATATGCCTGCAGGCTGTAGAATGCCCATGTCTGATATAAACATATGGGCAGAGGGTTTTGTTTACACAGGTAGATATGTTGTATCTAGCTATCTAACTAGCTAGCTAGCTAGCTTGCTAGCAAATTTATATGGCTGTCCATCTCACAAGAAGAGACTCTGGGTGGTGTACAACAAAAATGTAAAACAATAAACATGTCAAAAATCAATATCACTCCCCCCTGTTCCTCACAATGATGCTTTCAAAATACATTTAAATTCCAACTTTTGAAACTTGCAAGAGCATCTGAGAATATATTTTGGGAGTTCTCATTAGAGAACTCATGTTGAATCACTCCTGGATATATCACTCTCCAACGTAAAATTGACTTGAAAAAACAAGAGAAACTCTGAAAATTGTGAAACTTTAGAAGCTGAACAGTTAAACTGAGGAACTTTATTAAATAACTAGTATTGTCTCATTATCTGATATCCGTGCTTTGGTGGGCTGATATTGCTACTGTTGCATGAAATGAATTTGAATTCTGAGCAAATACTGTAAAAAAAATGAAAAGCTCCAGTGAATATGAATCAGCAAATAGTATTATTTCTTAAAGCAGAGAAGAAATGTCCATCACTGTTATTAACTGGATTAGAAATATATTAATGGAATTCAGTTAGATCAGCTTTTCCCAATCTGGTTACATTCAAATCAGAAGTATCCACAGGGAGGAAAAAGGAAGGCAGGTGTCAAAAGCATCATTGTACCATAAGTATCATTCCTTTTGTAGTGCATTGTAACATCTTGTGGGTGTATAAAAGGAATGTTGCTTACAGCATGGTTCTGTCCCAATGGTGTTAGACTTTAATACCCAGATAGCATAATCACTGGAAAATTGTAGGCATTGAAATGCAATTTATCTGGACCAAAGTAGGGAGAGCTAAATAAGAAGGACCTAGTTGACTTACTAGGAAGATGCCATATATGGGAAATCTACACATCACATACAGATATTTTCTAAACAAGCATGAAACAGCAAGTTGTTGATTAAAGAAACACAAACAAAACTGGGAAGTGATGCAAATGTCACATTTTAATTGTTTCTTTGTTTTATTCCAGAATTCCAAATTCCTTGGCCTTTGGTTATGGCCTTTGGAATAGTTGGCCTAATGGTGATGCTGTCCCTTGTCTTCTTTTCTAAAAAACAAAAGTAAGTTTTTGGTAGATTTTTACCTCTAATCTAGTCATCCTTTTTCTGTGGCGTTTCTCTAATATAATTTTTTGATGGAATATTCTGGCTCTCCCAAATACATTTGTTATTTCATCAGGGGAAAAGGATGTTCAGAAACTCTTTCCAGAGAAATAGCTTTATGACTAATGGTAGATCATAGTCATACGAGGACCAAAATAAACTTTATTGGAGATATTGAAATGGGGAACTATTGAAAACTGTAGGGATAGTTTCTAGCAGTCAAAAATGACTTAAAAATATAACTTGAAGTATAATAATTTTTGTACCTTTACTAAGAAATATGTAAACATTTTAAAATATCACTGTTACGTGTATTTGCAATTCAGTCATATACTTGTATTATGGCTAATAAATTTCTACTTGGTTTGGGAAAAGCTGAAAAAAACATTCTTTTCCTGCTCAGGAAATGGCAGAAAAGAGAAGGAGCGTTGGTCCTCACTTGAAATGGTTTTTACTTTCATTCGTTTGATGATGAGGAACTGATTTAATCTTCAACAGCCCATTAGCCAGTTTGCAGTATGATTGAAGTCATAAAGATTCTAGGTTCCCTTAACTCTAGGTCTCCAACCCATTTTCTCCTTTTCTGACATCAGCATTTTGAAATTGAAAGATAACATCCTTGGAGATTTCCATGAGTCTAGAATGGGCATGCTAAGGAGACACTGTAGGTGCCACATAGAGAGCCAATGTTTGTACCATCCACTATTCAGCTGCCCCTTTATACCAAGCCTAAGAAACTCAAGACAATGGAAAGGCTTCATATCGAGTACAGTGGAAATAAGAGTGGCTTCATCTGAGTCCTTAATAAAGATTGTTACTAGATAAGCACTGTCAAAAGTGTCTGCCCAGCTTTAGCCAAATTTGAGCTGAGGAGTCTTATCAGTTTGTCATTCTTTAAAAAATGGAATATTTTGAAGGAAGAATTCTGGCTTATTCCCTTGGCTAGGACATCTTCATAATGAACGTAAGGACAGCGCCCATTTCACTACTCTTTAGTTAGCTAGGATACAAATCCAGACTTCAGCATTTCAGAATGCTAGTTTGGATCTGAATGCTCCACCATATTAATATTCTCCCACATAAAGATGCTTGCATTTGTTGAGAAATAAATAAATTAAAAGTGTATTGGTCTATATGAGCGTCTTGAATGTTTTCTTGAATTTAAGTGTGAAGCTACTACATTAGAAATAAAGATACCTCTCCTTTTATACATTTGCTCCACTTAAAATCTCTCCATCTCAATTTAAATGCTGACAACTAGAGTAGCTTTCTGGGCAGCATCCAGTTGCTTATGTAAATCACCAGTTCAAAATATTAAGTATTTTAGCACTGGTCATGCTTGCTGAACTGTAAGTTCAAAAGGTTAAGAAGATATCATGATAACAGCTATGCCACTTGCTTCATCTATGTAAGTCCAAAAGATGAAGCAGAAATAAGGGAAAAGCAATAATCATGCAGCAACTATGAAATACAGATGAAAGCTGCAAATGAGACTTCAGTAATAAAGGCTATTTACATTTATGGGAAATAATAAAGAGCAGGAGGATCTCCAATCAAAATGAAGATAGGAGCCACAGAGATGGATTCTATTTCAGAGGGTTGAATTCAAAGGCGGGATTAATATTAAAAACCTATAAGCCAATAACCAGAAGGAGGAGGAGGAGAAAAAGGAGAAGGAATGGTAGACACGCCTCCTGCAGGAAACTCCCAGTCCCTGAAGCGTCCACATAGCACATACATCTTGTTCCTACCCTGGGATTCCCTAAGATAAAGAAAACATTGACAGCTCTGAAAAGGAATCTAAACAATAGTATCAATATCAGTGAGAAATGGTGCAATTGAAACACTAGAAGAAATAGCACTTCATTTTGGTTGAATTTTCTCTTACCACCTTCCCCCCCACCCTTAAAATTCTCTTCTTTAGATTAGGCTGAACCAACTTTATAATGAAAAGATATTCAGTTTTCAGGCATTTGGCCTGATTATTGAGTCTTATTTGCAAACTTTGCTTTAAAAGAACTTGAGGGATATATTGGAATATTTTCAGCTTGCCCATCCTTGTTTTGATATATCAGTAAATGGATTTCTGGCAAATGTGATGATACCTCTATTCTGTTGAGAGGCAACTTTTGAGTCTGAGAAGCACTGGATGATATGAGAGGAGGCAAGTCTCTTGAGGCAGTTCTCTTGTGATCCAGAGTTCCTAATGCTACAGAGAGGTCTATGCTATACTTCAGTTTTAATCATGAGATAACCCTGGCGTTATGTCTCAGACTCTTTGAGTTTGCACATCCAGGGTTATTGTGTAGCGTGTCTTCGGGTGACACCAGAACAAATTCTACAGGATAGCTGTGATTGTTGCATGGTGGGTCTCTGAAGGGTTGCCAATATGGTGTGCTAGAGCTTCCCTAGTAGACAGTATTTGCTGAGTTGGTTGAGCTTCACTCAGGTTTACACTGAGTACAACAATTAGGATAACCGCCCGGCTACTGGCAGCTTTGTGAGAAAAGATTATGAATTAGACCATGCTTACAGGCAAGATAAAAGATTCCTTCCTACTGAAGGGGAATAGCAAGTGACTTTTTAATTAAAATCATAATTGCACTAGATTCATTCCTATGGAGGGAGAAAGAAAAGGTATTTAAAATTGCCACAAGCTAGCATATTGCTCCTTAATTGCTTAGAGCAGTGGTGGCGAACCTATGGCACAGGTGCCAGAGGTGGCACTCGGAGCCCTCTCTGTGAGCACACGTGTCGTTGCCCCAGCCTTGCCTCCCCCCGCAACCCCCTCCTTTCCAGCAGCCCCCCTGAAGGAGAGTCGCCCTTGAACGTGGCCCACACGGAGCAACGCAGCCAAGGACATGGCAGCTAGGCAGTGTAGACAAGACTCTGCCCTCACACCCCATCATGCAGTTGATGCTGCAGGGCGCAGGCAGAGGATGTGGCCGTCATAGCGCTGCTGGGCTGCCTGGGCGATCTGCAGCGGGCCCTGGAGGTGGTGAGTGGTCCTGTGGGCAGGCGGGGCAGGGAATGGGGGGGCAGAGCGGGGGCGGGGCAGGGGGTAGAGCAGGGCGGGGCCAGTTTTTGGGTACTCGGTCTCTAAAAGGTTCGCCATCACTGCCTTAGAGAATGCTGCTTTGTAAAGAAGCCAAAGGAAAGGTTAAAATACCTTCACTGTTCTCAGAAACTATGCTAGGAGTCAAAAGAAAAGTACAGAAGACCAATTAGCTAAATTGCTGAACAAATTGGCAAAATTAATACATGAAAAACAAATACCATTTTATGACCCATAATTGAAATTCTAAATCATGGGACCTAGAATATGACTGGATGAGTCTATCCAAGAAAATCTGAAGCTCCAAGCTTAGATTGAAAATGTATTAAAGCAGAATTTAGTATTCATAAACTAGTAGTATATGATAAAGGAGTTATTTAAAGATGCTGGGTTTTGAGTGCAACGTATTAGCAATAGATCTGAACTAAGTATTTTTAAGATTACTTAGTTTTCTGTAAGTCAGAGGCTTTTTTATGAGATTGAATAGGATGTTTTGCTGACAATCTGAAATGGCACAGTTCAGAATTTTACATATTGGGGGTTCCAAAACTGCCAGTTTGGGATTTGCCAAGATACAGCCATCCTACCAAAATAAGCGATTTTATTGTATTACTCTTGATGCAGTTTAGAAGTCCTAGAACTTAAATGTTAATCTTTCTTTTTAAGGCTGAAAATACTGATCTTTCCTCCTGTGCCAGTGCCCAGAATTAAAGGAATTGATCCAGACCTCTTAAAGGTAATGAGAAATTGATTGCTGTTGTACAAAATCAGTATACTTGAAGGTTTGTCTGCATAGCAGGTATAGATTAAATATTCTAAAATGGTCTAATATCTAAGGCAAAGTGTTGCCCAATTAGTGGCATAAATTTATGTAATAAATGTTTACACCTTTATTAAAAACATTCTTTCTAGTTAGGGATTGAGATTGATTGGTTGATTATGTGCCATCAAATTACTTCCAAGGATGCATCCATCACCTCTGTAATTGTATCCATCTATCTTGTAGCTAGTTGTCCTCGTCTTTTCTCTTTCCTTCCACCTTTACCAGTATTATAGACTTCTACAGAAATAAATGTTACATGTATTGGGTCTAAAATGACTTCTGGTTTCCTCCATCCTTGAAACTTCAGGTTTCAAGTCTGGGGCCATAATTTGCATGATCTTTTAATTAGGAAACTGAAGAATTCTGTCTGAGTACAGTAAATACTACTGCCATGCATATAGAATTCATATATGAATGATTGAATTTCAACAATAATTATTACTCTTTTGTTTTTAAACATTTGTTTTCAGAAAGGAAAACTGGATGAAGTTAATTCCATTTTAGCAAGTCATGGTAGCTACATGCCCCAGCTTTATGGAGATGACTCTTGGGTGGAATTTATTGAGCTGGATATAGATGAAGCTGAAGATAGAACTGAAGGATCAGATACTGATAGGCTTCTTGGTGATGTCCACATGAAATCTCATGGCTGCCTTGCAGTGAGGGATGATGATTCTGGACGGGCCAGCTGTTGTGAGCCTGATATCCCAGAGACTGATTTCAGTGCAAGTGATACATGTGATGGAACTTCTGACATTGATCAGTCCAAAAAGGTAAATGATAAAGAAGAGGATCTCTTGTGCCTTGATCAAAAAAACATTGATAAATCAATGTCAGGTCTTGATGATGCATCTGCCTGCTTGCCATTAGATAATCCATCCAAAGAACAAGACCTTAAATCCCATATTCCTGCCACTGAGATAACCAATCCGCTTGTCCAGACCCAGTTAAGCAATCAAAGTTCAGTAAGGAACATTGACTTTTATACACAGGTCAGCAACATTACGCCAAGAGGAAGTGTTGTGCTATCCCCAGGACAAAAAATGAAGACAGGGAAAACTCAAAGTGAAGCTCAGAAAGAACCACTTGCATGGTGTCAGCCAACCTTGGCCATGGACAGTGCCTATTTCTGTGAGTTGGATGTGAAAAAATGTGTCACTGTGACACCTCCCAAAGAAGATGAGCCAGAAGTTCAAGTCCAGAGCTTTTCTGAGGATGCTTACTTGACCACCGATAACCTTGTCATTCATCCTGTGAGCCCTGCTATGGTAGCAACAGCTGCAGAAGAAAAAGATCCAGAAGCTTCTGAGATACCTGTGGCAGACTATACCTCCATTCATATGGTACAGTCTCCACAAGGCCTTGTTCTCAATGCAACAACTCTCCGTGTGCCAGACAAAGAATTCATCATGTCTTCTGGCTATGTGAGCACAGAGCAACTTAACAAAATCTTATCATAGGTTTCTCTCTCTCTCTCTTTTTTTTTTAGCATATAGGAAATAGTATTATCCCTAGCTATACAGAAGCCCAAAACACATATGGAATTGGAGTTTTCCAATTCATTACAGTGTTTATAGAAAACTTCTGAAGTTTGCAGAATACTTATTATTATGTGAATGGGGAGGCCAATTCCCAAAGGGAATTCCATGTTCCTATGCTTTGACCAGAGCCAAGGTGTCCAATAGTTTCAGATGGTTGGTGATGTGGTCCTTTCCACTTTTACCTGTGTTGTTGAATCAATCACAGTATTGCTTTTGTGTCTTGTAAATATTGTCTAATCAAATGTTGCTGGTGCTGATTCAGTAGCATGACTGTCTTTTGTTGTAGGTGTTGCTTTGGGCTTCTCCCAAACACATTGGGTATCTGTGTCATGCATTGTAAATCATTTTTTCTTCAAAAAGCTAATAGCAGGTGTGGAATTTTGTTTGTTTGCTCGCTTGTTTGAACATTTTCAGATGTTTATACTGAGAATTAGAGAATGAAAGATTAGATAAAGAAGCAAAAAAAGTTTTGTTAAATAAAGCATTATTATAGTTAATATAAATATAAATCTAATGCTTCAGATAAGCAAGCATGAATATTTTATACTTGGACTGCACACTGAGGTTTAATTATTATGATCAATGTATGGAATGCGTCTGCTGCAATTAGGGTAGCAGTTATCAAAAGAATAAGGAAAACATTTTTATATCTCCACCAAAGCTATAGAGAATTTTAAGTTGCAGCACTGCTGGGGGGGGGGGTTGATCATTTCTTAAAAGCACTATTCATATTTTTACATTTTGTAGCAAACCAAAAACATACAACGTTGAATTTTTTTTTTTTTACTGGTAAACCATTACTATTTTACAGCAGTAAAACCTAAGATAGATTTGGAATTTCTGGGCTTTTTAGGAATACAATTAATTTTTTATGACTAAATAGGCAATTTAATAGTGTTCTTTACAAGAAAGCGTTTACATCCTTTAATTTTTTAAAAAAATACCTAATATTAATATAGAATCAAAGTTATCAGCATTTTAGATTTTGAATCAAATAAAAATACAAAATTCAATAGAACAGTATTATAAACAGTACAACTTTTTATTTAGGATAATTTGCCAATTAATATTGAGTGTAGGAAAGTTTTAAAGAATTATTGTGCTTAAGCCTTACATGCATCTGTTCCTTTCTCAAGGTACGCCTTAATATACTTAGATTTTATATTTTGTTTACATGAACCAGGTTTAAATTCCAAGACCTTTTCAAATATGCAGTCTGCTTGGTTTTTTTCCTTGCTGTTTTCAGACTGCTAATGTTACTCTTAGCCTTAGCCTGAAGGTGACCGTTCCTAAACCTCACGCAAATGTCACACTAACTTCCCAGAGTTACTGATTTGATCTGGGAGTTTATGACATAGAGGTAGAAAGTTTTGTGCCATATAAAGGTTCCTTATTCTGATTCAGAAAGCTTCTCCCCTTAGCCCTGATAGACATCTCTTATTGAACTTAGCTTCCCTGAGATCTTTAGCAGAGGTTTTTTACATTACCTATTGCCTGAGTCTATGTTTTTTAAAGATGTTAGGGATCAATCGTGGACCCTTCTGCACATAAAACATGCATTATATCACCAAGCCACTAATCCCTGACAGAAGCAAAAATGTGAATGAGGAAACATAGTGAATTCAGAGGTACTCAGAGATGATTACAGTTGTCCCCTTATGGAAAGGGTGCAGATATTTTGCACTGGTCACAATAATGGGAACCCACAAAAAAAAACTTTGGGAAAGGGGGAGGAATGCCTAGGATTTGCCTCTGAACTGGTCTTAAAAGGATTTAAATCTAGAAAAAAATCCTTCCTTTCCATTGTTGTTCCCTTTGTGGGCCATTACAGTTAATGGCCATTTAATAAGCTGTGATAATAATGAACATAGTATGTAGATTACAACTGCCTTCTTGGAAATATGTTGATATTATGCCTGGGTGGTGGTTTTGTTAGTATTGTTTTGATTTGTTTTAAAGAAGTAAGCTGAAGGTCTTGTTACATGTATTTGCCATAGCCTTCAGTCTTAAAAACAAGTGTAGTGCAATTGTTTCTGGTTTACTTAGAAATAAGCCATAATATGTGCTATTGGGCCAACTTCTATGAGGTGGGCTTTTACGTTGGCCAACCTAACTAATAAGGGTGAAGTTTGTAAAAAGTTCACATAGTATATCTCAATAAAGTTGCTTGAGATGACACCATGACAGAAAAAGAATGTAAGCTTCATTTATTTTACATTTTTAAAAAACTGGCTCTTTTTTCCATATAGGTACTTATCTCACTCAGCTAATTGTCACTAGAAAATCTGGGAGATGGAAAGAGGATGGTGGGACACATTAGCAGGTTATAAGTGACCCTGTCAGCAAAGAACAGCTAGAATGAAAAGAACAGCAAGTGAGCAGATCACAACAAGCTTTAGTAAATATATGAAATGGTGCAGAAATCTAAAAATGACCACGCACCTGCTTCTCAGCCACTATGTTAATCTTGTGTTATATAAGTAGGCTTTGAGTAGAAATACATATTTTAGCTGGGAATTGCATCATGTATAAGCATCTTAAAAGGAAGAAAGTTGCTCAGAATCAAGTCAGTGCTTCAGAAATAACCTTTTCTGATATTCATTCTTTGGCTTGCATTTGGCCTTTGTATTTAAGATGTATTTTGTCTAATAGCTGGAACCTTTCATTTTAGGCACTATTGCAATTAAAGCTATGTAAGCCGCTTTTAATGACAAGGGAAATTAATGCTATATTGCTCTTGTTGGATGTTTTTTTCCATCACCAAAAACTAGTTAAATACCTCAATCAATCTCAGAATGTCCTTTGGTACTTTGCTGGTTATGTAAAACAATATATCACAGTATGAAGATTTGTGTATTTCTGTTTTATGTATTTAACTTGCCTTATGTCAGTGTTCTGATTCCTTCCTCAAAGTTTAAATAAATTTATTTTCTTTAATTCATCATGATGTTGTTGCATAATTTGTGGCCAAACTCTTACAATGAAGGAGAAGAAACAATTTTTTAAAAAACATAGTTTACTTTATTGTCAATGGATGCCATTTTTACATGTCATTTCTGTGCAATATAAATAAAAACCTGGAAAATACATAAAGCATGATTGGCAGCCGTAATTTCCACATATAATTTTTCCATCCATGGATGAGAATCCTCCAAGGGAAAACAACTCAAGAGGCTTGGGAAATTTTGAAAAGTGAGATAATAAAAGCCCAGTCTAGCACAATACCAACAAAGAGGAAATATAACAGCTCTCAAAAGAAACCAGCATGGCTGCATAAAGAACTCTCTGATCAATTGAAAGATAAAAAGGACAAGTATAGAAAGTGGAAAGAGGGACACATAACTAAGTCAGAATATCAGCAAATAGCCCAAGCCTGCAAAGACGAAGTGAGGAAAGCTAAGGCTCAAAATGAACTAAGGCTTGCAGCCAAAGTCAAAAATAACAAAAAAAAGCTTCTTTCAACATGTAAAAAACAAGAAAAAAGTGAAGGAAACGATTGGTCCATTAGTGGGTGAAAGTGGCAAGAAGGTGACAAGCAACAGGGAGAAAGCAGAACTATTTAACTTGTTTTTCGCATCTGTCTTTACACAAAGGGAAAAAACAGACCAACCTATCAAAAATAGTGCCATAAAAAACAAAATAGAAATACAAGTTAAGATAGGCAAGAAAATGGTAAGTGAACAACTGTCCAGCCTAGATGAGTTCAAATCACCAGGACCAGATGGATTACACCCCAAGGTTCTTAAGGAACTGGCAGATGTGATCTCAGAACCACTGAACTATATATTTCCAAGATACTGGAGCACTGGGGAACTACCAGAGGACTGGAAAAGAACTGATGTAGTTCCCATCTACAAAAAAGGGGGGGGGAAAGGACCCAGGAAATTACAGACCTATCAGCCTGACCTCAATACCTGGGAAGATTCTGGAAAAGATAATCAAACAACGAATCAGTGAACACCTACAGGCAAACAAAGTCATTACTAAAAGCCAACATGGGTTTGTCAAAAACAGATCATGCCAGACAAATCTTATTGCATTCTTTGACCAAGTGACAAAATTAGTGGATCAGGGGAATGCTGTGGATATAATTTACTTGGAGTTCAGTAAGGCATTTGACAAAGTAGACCACAACCTACTACTTGATAAGATAGAAAAATGCGAGTTAGACAGCATCACCACCAGATGGATCCGTAGCTGGCTGACAGGCTGTACTCAATGGAACCACATCTACATGGAGGGAAGTGTGTAGTGGGGTGCCCCAGGGCTCTGTTCTGGGCCCAGTGCTCTTCAACATCTTCATCAACGATCTGGACGAGGGGATAGATGGGGAACTCATCAAATTTGCAGACGACACCAAACTGGCAGGAATAGCCAACACTCCAGAAGACAGGCTTAGGATACAGGAGGATCTGGACAGACTTGAACACTGGGCGCTATCTAACAAAATGAAATTCAATGGTGAAAAAAGTAAGGTTCTATATTTAGGCAAGAAAAACCAAATGTACAGGTATAGTATAGGGGGTACCTTGCTCAATAGTAGTAACTGTGAGAGGGATCTCGGAGTCCTAGTGGACAATCATTTAAATATGAGCCAGCAGTGTGCTGCAGCTGCCAAAAAAGCCAACACAGTGCTAGGCTGCATTAACAGAAGGATAGAATCAAGATCACGTGAAGTATTAATACCACTTTACAATGCCTTGGTAAAGCCACACTTGGAATACTGCATCCAGTTTTGGTCACCACGATGTAAAAAAGATGTTGAGATTCTAGAAAGAGTACAGAGAAGAGCAACAAAGATAATTAGGGGACTGGAGGCTAAAGCATATAAGGAACGGTTGCTGGAATTGGGTATGTCTAGTTTAATGAAGAGAAGGACGAGGGGGGACATGATAGCAGTGTTCCAATATCTCAGGGGCTGCCACAAAGAAGAGGGAGTCAAGCTATTTTCCAAAGCGCCTGAAGGCAGGACAAGAAGCAACGGGTGGAAACTAACCAAAGAGAGAAGCAACCTAGAACTAAGGAGAAACTTCCTGACAGAACAATTAACCAGTGGAACAACCTGCCTCCAGAAGCGGTGAATGCTCCAACACTGGAAGTTTTTAAGAAGAAACTGGACAGCCATTTGTCCAAAATGGTATAGGGTTTCCTGCCTGAGCAGGGGGTTGGACTAGGTGACCTCCAAGGTCCCTTCCAACTTTACCATCATCATCATCATCATCATCATCATCATCATCATCATCATCATCATCATCATCATTATTATTATTATTATTATTATTATTATTATCATATTTCCATCTGTTTCAAAAAGAAGCATATAAATTACTGAATAAATTTTAAATATCACAAGAAATCTTCACAGTATAAGACATGGCAGGTGGAAAATTTCTCTAAATACCACAGAATCTGTTTTGACTTTATTGTGAACTTCTGGTTATACCAATAGAAGAGAATATATGTAGCTCAGAGTTGAACTACAGAGGCCTTGATCCTCCCTGAACTTGGTCGTTTTCTCAGAGATGTTTCATCACACAACTAAATAACATCATCAATGCACAGATGATGTTACCTAATCAGATAGAAACATCTGCAAGCAAACAACCAAAGAGAGGTGCAAGGACTCCACATTTCTGATTGTGACACATGTAAAAGCTCATTCCACTTCTTTAGAAAACATCACACAGAGTTTAGAGATTCTCAGGTGCACTTGAGTGATGAACACTTTGGATTCCTGATTCCTGAACAGTTTTCTTTGTAATAGGGGATTAGGGGGCAAGACCTTGGGTCACACAAGATCAAAGCCTAGAAAAAGAAAGCTGAGCAAGTCGTAATGAAAATTAGACTTTCAATGGGGGGGGAGGAAATCATCCTTTTCAAGTCATTATTTCAGTTGTGAGCAAATAAACTCATTTCAAGGTTCTTATCTGGTGGGCATTCTGATGTTGGCCAATAAATGATCCCTGACTTAAAATTGGGTCTTCATTAATAAACTATGAAACATCAAACAGGATTTTCTTCTTCTCCATCAGAAAAAGTAGGAAGGAAAATGGTTGTACTGCAAAAAGAAAGGGGGGGGCTGAAATTGAAGTGTAAATATGGAAACTCTATAATAATAGTTTTTAAGCTAATAGTACATTTCAGAGGATCTGTGATAAAATTAACCAGTTAACCAATGGAACAACAATAGAACAATTAACCAATGGAACAACCTGCCTCCAGAAGCGGTGAATGCTCCAACACTGGAAGTTTTTAAGAAGAGACTGGACAGCCATTTGTCTGAAATGGTATAGGGTTTCCTGCCTGAGAAGGGGGTTGGACTCGATGACCTCCAAGGTCCCTTCCAACTTTATTATTATTATTATTATTATTATTATTATTATTATTATTATTATTATTATTATTATTATTATTACTCAAATATGTGGAACAAATCATCAAGTATTGAATAGCAACAATGCAGTTTAAAAATTAGTCTGAGATATTTTTAATTAGAATTTGGGAAGATGAAATACAATATATTATTAATGATTAATTATTAATGTAAGAATGGCCAGAGGTTTGTTGCTTGAATTAGTAGTTTCTTTATTTCTTGTTTTATGAATTCCAGGTGTATGGATATCTTCCTATCTGACAGCAATCTTGAATCTAAATAAATTGATAGAACCACCAGGTTTCTGCTAAAGATGGGGGGGGGGGGAAAGGTCTTCCCACTTTTCCAGTCGGAGAACAGACCTGAGGATATGGTGTAACTCAGTGGTTCTCAACCTGTGGGTCGGGACCCCATTTGGGGTCGATCGACCATTTCATGGGGGTCACCAAGCAAGGCTGTCCGCCATTTTTTTCCCCTTTTCCGGCGGGTGCCTTACCTCCCTTGGGCTGGGCCAGCTGGTGGTCGGCCTGCTCCGTCTCCGCCGCTTGCCACCTACGCCTCGGCCGGCGCAGGGGGCAGAACCACGCATGCGCAGCGCTCCCAGGCAGGGAAAGTCCTCGACTTACAACCGGTTGGGTAGTCCTTGACTTACGACCGGTTTAGTCCTCGACTTACGACCGGTTTAGTCCTCGACTTACGACCGGTTGGGGTCGCGGCATTAAAAAGGTTGAGAACCACTGGTGTAACTGGATGTTACCTTTGGTACAAATTAGGGAGCTATTTCTATCAATATCAAGAGTTAAAACAGCAAGTAAACAACCAGTTGGAATATCTAATCTCTGTGCTCTTTGTCATTAAAATCTCTGGTTAGCACTCATTAAGTGTGTTCCCTAGAATTCATTAAATTAATCAACCCTGAACCTGAACCTGGCAAAGTTGCTTTTGGCATCGTTTAATATTTCCAAGTATTAAAACATAGCATTAATTTCTTAGGCTTGCAGACATGTATCATAATGAGCATAGATTATGGTCTCCGATTTTAAAAAGCAAACTATAAGGATTAGAGGACCTTTTTTGCTGTAAACAAACGTCCATTATACAATGATTGACCCATTAAATGGCGTACTTTAGGAAGTAAACTTTCGTCCACTCTTTCTCTTACAACAAAACACAGCTGATTCTTCTTTCTTTCAAATTTGTAGAAAATTCAAGCTTATTTCTTTCTTTTTTTATCCTACCTTTATTATTTATATAAATAATTCAAGGTGGCAAACATACCTAATATTCTTTCTTCCTCCTATTTTCCCCATACTAACAAACCTGTGAGATGAGTTTGGCTGAGAGAGAGTGTCTGGTGTCAAAGTTGTCCAGCCAGATTTCATGCCTAAGGCATGAAAGTGTGTGTGTTCCCCCCCCCCATTCTGGATTATGAGTGGTACATTCCATAAATTGGTGTCCTAGGCCGGATTTTTCCCTGCCCGACAGTTCAGTTTCAGGGTGGTTTCTATCTCTGGTTTGTGTGTCACTTTATGATGCTGCATAAATATTAAGCCCATCGACCTTCAGAGCCTCTTGCCTTCTCTCTTAATGTACACAACTTCTCACTGGGCATCCTGTGGCTCATATCAACTTATTTTCCATTCACTTCAAAATATATTCAGATAATTTCCTTCAGAGATGAGATTGCCAACTAATGGATAAAACATACACTTGGCCTGCTCTTCTGCCTTCAAGGGCTATTTTAATGTTAAAAACCAACAGGGAGAGGGCATAGCTTCTTTATTTACAAATTAAACATAATTAAATTAAACATAATCTCCAACTAATTTTTGCAGAGATAAGTACAAAAAATAGAGATGCAACTACAGGCATCTTTCTCTCATAGAATTATCACTCGCACCCACCATGTTTTCCTCAGTTTAAGTGCAACTTAACTTTAAAACATAACTTTTAAATGATGCACTATTTTTCCAGGATACATAGAAAATGGTGACATATTCTTACTGAACATTTTTGTTCTTCCTCTTTTATTATTTTAATTTTTAAACATATTTATCAATACTGTAGGTTTATATTCTGCTTTCAAGGCCTAAATACTTAGAAAGCCACTCACAGTATAGAAAAAAACAATGCATATATTATACTACATAAGATGTTATTCAAGAAATGTTGTAATAATTTCAAATATTTTATGGAAAAAAACTGATAACATTTACCAGTGTTGACTAAATGCTAGATGGCGATTTGGGGACTTCTCTACAACAGTCTAGTCTGCAGTTAAATGATAAGAATAGCACAATACATTGCAATCTCTAATGTTATACACACACAAAAATAACAGATAATAGGTTTCTACAAAAAAAACCCTGCCTTTTTTTGGTTCCCTAAAGGCAAAATTATTACTGATTGAAAATGTTATTTACAACTGTCTAAATTTCAGTTACTTTAAAAAAAACAGACTTTGCATAGCTAGTGATAGCCAAATCAGAGAAAATGTCAATGCTCAAAGCAGCATTGCATTTTAATTTTTTCATCCTGGACAAGCTGTTCTGCATAAGAAACAATCTTAACTATGTATACAGATCATCATGGAACTAGTACATTCAGTGTTTAAACTACAACAAACTTTCAACAAACTCTGAAGAGCAAGACTTTGTTTTAGCATGACACAACACAGACTTGATAAATAACATAAGTAGAGTTGCTTCAACAGTGAGATGGCTGGCATATAAATTTAATAAATAAAAATACACTGATGAATTTATAACTGGGAAGAGCTTAAAATATCAACAGTATATAAACAAACAAATTATGCAAGCAGAGCTATTTAATACGAAATTTTTAATAATTTTTAAATATCAATATTCTTGATGTTGATACTTGAGTCTAAGATAGGAATCTTACACATACTTAACAATAGCAATATTGTTAGCATATTTAACAATTTAACAATAAGCATTGCTGAATACAAGGCATGGCCTTGTCTACAAAAATGGCTGTAACGTTTGTGCCATATGTTTTAAATTTTAACTGTGGCACTTCTTATCATGTTAAAAAAAAAGAATGCTAATTCTTCCCATGGAAATTGCTTCTCCTGGCAAAGAAATAGACCATTACACTTAAGATAGCATAATTTATACATATTTTTCTTTGATATACAGCAAATTGTGAAGCAGTCTGGCAACATGAAGAAAACTAGTATGGTGAATCTTGACAAACTTTTAGAAGACTTCTCACATATAGAAATGGTAAAAAATGAAGTAGAAAAAAAATATTATATCCAAATTCTTATATTTTCCTAGAAAGTTAGCAACTCAATAAGAGTCACTCTGGATAATGAGATGAGTGGACATAAAATAAATAAATAAATAAATAAATATTTTCTTTCACTATGCTTTTGAAGTCCCTCCCTTTAGGGGTCTGATTATGCAGTGGAATAGAAAAGTGAAGTGGATGTAGCCAAGCTCTATATAAGTTCTGATCTCATTTAAGAGATTCATCTCTTCAAGTCAATTAAATTTTCAACTGAAAATGCTTTTTAACTTTGAAATAGATTCAGTAGAGACTGAATCAGTTGTTTTCTCTCAGCGTTATGGGGCTGTTATTTCACTTACCTTTTTAGTATAATGAGTTAAGCTTCAGGTGGAAGATCCATAGGTCAATAGAAAGCATGTCAGATTTACCTTCATAAGGGACTCTTGGATTCCATTTCTTCAAAAATAATTTCTGGAAAAGAGCTTAACAAAATCCTGTTCTGAATCCCAATAGTTAGATAACAAATTTTATTATTGTTTTATTATTATTGTTTTATTCAGTCAGTATTCAGTTTCAGAATGGCTATGAAATCAGTCCCTTTAAATTCACCATTCTCTGTGAAGCACATCCAAGATCATTCTGGGTTTTTTTAAGGGTCATGCTTTCAGATTTCTAATACTTGACAAATGTCAATAAACATTCAGCGTGTATTTTTAAAAAAATAGATTTTTCTGACAAAATAATTGCGGAGCTGGGAAGGAGGTGTCATTTGGAATTCAAATAATTTCTTACAGAAAATGTCAGAACTTCATGGGAAAAATCATGTTCTGAATCTTGAGTTGGACAAAACAAATAAATTGCTAACAATAAGCCAATCAAGGGAAGAGATGGCTAAACGAGGTAAGCCTTCATTTCCTTGGCAGTATTTTCCATCAGACACGTGTTGGGTCCATAAAATGTGTATGTGGATACTATCTTTGTGTAATGAAGGTAGTTCAACAGCAGAGCAGCCCCAATACTCTGCCTAGTGGCAATGAACTTTTCCTTGTTGTTGCACCAGCCCAAAAGGAGCTGGCATTCAAAGCATAGGGGTTTTGTAGTGGGAAGAGCACTTCCCTATACATTTCCACTATTTAAAAAGCAATTGGAAAGCAACTGGATCTTTTGGGGAGTGAAGTTCACTGCCATTTTAGAATGATTCTGGATATTGCTAACAGGTGAATGAAAAGGATCACAGTAACTAAGCCTCAGATCCAGTGGTGGGATTCAAATATGTGAAGAACCGGTTCTCTGTGTGGATGCCGCTTCCAGAAGTCCATTCTGGGCCTGGGTAACAAAAAATTATCTACCGGTTCTGCCAAACTGGTGCGAACTGGCTGAATCCCACCACTGCTCAGATCTTTAGATATGGAACAGCTGTCATAATCATACATTTCTTTTTCTTCCATTCAGTCATGTTCAATTCTCAGATACTGCATGGACAAGTCCCTGCAGTTTTCTTGGCTATGTTTTTCAGAAGTGGTTTACCATTGCTTGTTTCTCAGGGCTGAGAGGGAGGGGGATAAGGAAAGACAAGAATTCATGATCTCCCAGTTTGTAACCTGATCAACACTATACCAAATTGTCTCTCTATAGCCATACATACTACCTTGCTATTTCTTCTTGCCAAATGTATTGCTGTGATGCAGGCAAACGTTGCTCCATCTGAAGCAGTCCCCTTCTCTCCACCTTGCCCTCTGCACTGCACACATCTTGCCCACTATCATAATAGATATACCATGCTGGAAGATTGTTGGGCATTTGTTCATTACTGCAGGACAGTGGGTGGTGAACTTATGACACGTGTGTCAAAAGTAACAGGACTGACATTTGGGTGACACACCAGCATTCACCAACACTTGACAACAACTATTACTGAAAGCACACTATATTTGGAAATTGCACCATTTTGTGCAATTTTCAGAGGCTGTGGAGATTGTGCAAGAATGGAATGTGTTCTTGCACGGCCCTTGGATCCTACATGGCATGTGGTCTTCAAAGCCTCTGAAAAGTGTAAGGGATGTGTGGTTTGCAGAGGCTGCAGAGGCTGAAAAAGAGGATTCTCCAAAGCCATCTCAAGAATGAAGGTCTCATGTGACCTAGAACTGCCTCAGGTAGATCTCAGGGGTCTGTTTATAGAAAGGGAATACCATCTGAAGATAAGCAGCACAGAGCAGATCCTGAGGATCATATATGATGAAACTATATTTTAAAAAAATGAATGTGTAAAGAATTGCTTCTCTTTTGTTCGGGTGTGCATATAACATGGCAGCAGAATCAAGTTGGCATTTTCTGAATTTTTGAGATGCCGGGCTCAAAAGATTCTTCATCACTTCTGCAGAAGAATCAATATTTTAGTACCATTTTTAGATCTTTCCAGAAATGGAAAATATAATAAGACTTTAAACTCACCACATTTGTATTCCTTGAACTTTTAAGAAGCAGTGTTTCACATTTTAATTTTAAAAGTAATGTTATGAGTAAATGGTCTGAAAATTAAGGATACCAGAGGTCCATCTTGTGGCCACTATTTGCAACTGAAGATAGAACAGGACAATGCAGTACATTTTTAAGTATAATTGCTGATACTTAAACAAACTTAAACTAGAAAAAATGATACTTCAGATATTAAATTTGGGTTTGCTTTCATTATACAAAAGTTTGTATAATTATCAAAATAACAACAATTTAAAAATAAATATATTAATTTCTTTTCTTTTTTTCTTTTTAAAAGACAGTGCTACATTCCAGAATGTGATTAAAGGTCTTCAACAAACTATAGAAGACCAGTATAATTTGAGAGGTAAATAAGTGCAAAGTGATTTCATAGAGTTTTTAGTAGGTTTAGTAGGTTTAGTAGGTTGAGAGACAGATCCTGTACAGGTAGTCTTTGACTTAAAACAATTTATTTAATGACAGTTCTCAGTTACAATGGCCTTGGAAAAAGTGCTTTACAATCTGTGGTCACCCTTACAACCATCACACTACCCCCAGAGTCACATGATCATAATTTGTGAGCTTTTTTTACCTGTTTCCAGCAAAAAACGCCCACTGGGGAAGCTTGATTGGCTTAATGACTGCTGTAAAAATGGTCATAAAATTGCATTCTATCTCATGGTGACTCTACTTAGAATTGCAACGACTTGTGGTGGAAATTCTGGTCACAACTGTGGTCATAAGTCAAGGACCACCTATATAGACAGAGAATTTATGCCTGATCCTTGAGGGGGGGGACAATTTATCATGAACAATTTATCAGTACAGCACAGGAAGAGTGTTTTTCATGAGAAGCATCTTTCCTATCCAAATCATCCTTCAGACAGTAAGTTGCTTCATAAATATTTTCAGTTCTATTGCCACTCTCTGATTTGCATCCCCTTTCCAAGAATATTATTCCATAAAAACAAGTAAAAAAATATTCTTTTACGGCAGTAGTAATTGATTTTGCAAGCATATCCAGATGAGGGAGAATATGAGAGTGAAAAGATTCAGGAACCTTTAGCTTTTGTCTTCTCTTGTTGTTTTAAGCAAGAACCCCTTAATTTATTTGGCCTTGCAGTTTTAAATCAGTTTAAATCAAGATAAAACATATAAGGAACGGTTGCTGGAATTGGGTATATCTAGTTTAATGAAGAGAAGGACGAGGGGTGACATGATACCAGTGTTCCAATATCTCAGGGGTTGCCACAAAGAAGAGGGAGCCAAGCTATTCTCTATTTTTTAGAGTTCGGAACAGTTGGGAATTTATTTATTGCTCTTATTTTGTAATATTAATATCCTTATATAGATGAAAATGAGAAACTCAAAAACACAGTCCAGATTTTAGAAGAGAAATCGAAGACTCGTGAAAAGGTAGGAGCACTCTGTTTTCAAAACTTCTTATTCCTGATTTCTAGGGATGATTTCTTTAGATGATTTTCTGATTTTTATAGTAATCACTTCCATCTTCCTTACTGTTCATTAATGATCTAAATACAAGCATATTAGACTGTTGGATTAATATTCAATGTCTTATTTAGGGCTCACCATCACAAAAAAGGCCAGCATTGTTTCTTGGTAATTTTATACTTGCTCCTAACAGTCTCCAGGAGTTGTAACTGGGATGGAGCAATTATTTGCAAGTGCATAACAGCAACAGTATGTACATTGGTAAAAATTGCTTGTTACATTTTATGACTTTTTAAGGAAATCGTATAAATACAAACATCTTTACTGTTTGGAAGGAAGACTTTGCCCTTTACTACTAAAGCATAATGTTTGAATGCAAACCTATGTTCAAATTCCCATTAAAAAGGCTTGGAAAATTATCTTATTAGTACATTGAAGAAGCTCAATAGATTTATTTCTGGGTCAGCTGCAGTGCTTCTGAAATCACACACACACACACACACACACACACACACACACGTGTCATGGTTTCATTTGCAGTGATTGAACTTTGCAGAATTTGTGGACAATCTGTTTTCCTACTGTCGGGAAGCGTCACCTTACCTCCTGGCTTTTAGACTGATGTTGCAAACTGTTCGTAACTGATAAAGGGGAAACACGACTTACTTCTCTGCAACAATTTAGATTTGTTTTTAATACAAACAGACAAATGCATACATTCCTGTTGATTCCACTATAAAAGGATTTATCCTAGCTCTTTAGAGCTTGAAACCTAGTAGTTCAGATCAAAGAAACATTAAATAAATTGACAAGATTTGAGTCATTACTTCCCCTTCAGCAGTCAGTCAGAGAATTGCAAAGTGGCACCCTGCTACTTGTTCTTCTTTGAGCAATGCCCTCACGGAAGGGAAGAGTTTGCAAATTGTTTTCTTTTTGTGTGGAGTTTGAGAAAAATTTTGTTGCTTTAAGACTGGCTTGATCTCTTTTGAAGAGAGTGGTATTTGAAGACCTTCAATCTCTCTCTCTCTCTCTCTCTCTCTCTCTCTCTCTCTCTCTCTCTCTCCCTTTTCCCCAGACTAGTTTTCTGGTGCCTATCTATAGGCATTAAGCATTTCCTTCTAGCCAAGTTAAAATGCTATCCAAAGATACTAGCATAAGATTTGCTACAATCTGGAGGACACGTTAAGGACAAGTATTGGTAAATTCTCTTGGCTTAGTTCCTCTCCCACCAGACCTTACCAGCTAACAGGAAAGAATTTGTCATTCTCCTCAACATGGCCTGGGGAGGGATAGAAGAAGGCAGATTTTGACAGACAGCTAGACCCCTATTCCCTATGTTCAAAAGAAGCCCAAATCACAGCTGATAGGCACAAGGAGGGTTGCACTGTGAAGAAATCGAGAAAATCAGCTCATTTTTTTCATCCACCAGCCTCCCATCACTCACTCACACACACACATTGCCTGTCTCCATCACTTTTAGTCAGCTCTTGTTTTGCTTGATTCAGGTTTCCAAACTAGAGATTGTCATACTGGTAGGTACAGGAGGAGAGCCCAGTTTAAAAGAATTGCACTTTCCATCTGCCCATGGCTCTGGAAGACCATGCCCAGGAAGCAGCAGGTTCAGGTATGCCCGTACCACCTAAAGTGACCAATAGGTGCCAGAATGATCCCAGTGCTAAAGGAACCCCTTGAGGAACCCAATTTAAAGTTTCAGTAAAAAAAAAAAAAGCAATTTGCATTGAATGAAAATTATGTTAAGATAAATCAATTGCAAAGACCTATATATTTCAATAAATTCATAGGAACATGAAAATATGGTTGATAAACTCATTATGGAAATAAAAAACAAGGAGAAGGAACACAACCATGAACAGAGCAAACTTCACAGCGACATGAACAAGCAACGTAAGCATAATAATATGTATACAGTGTTTGAGAGATACAGAGTGTAAGGCACAGCCTTCATTGAGTGCACTATTAATTTATAATTAACTAATAAATGTATAATTAACTAATAAAAGATTGAGAATTACATATTTGAAGTATTTCGAAAATATCTATTCCCAATTGAAAAAGAGAGTAAGTGTAAAGCTCTACATATATGCTCTGCACATCTTTAATAAATTATTTTCCATTCTAGCAAATTAGGCAGTTTTAGATGAGTAACACAGTTTGTTCGTCCTCCCTTTCAGATACGAATTGTGTCATAAAAAAAACCTTTACATCAGCTAAAAAACAAATTAGCTTTTGCTTCTGCTTAAAAACAGTAAAGAAAATACACCAGCAAAAGAGAAGAGGAAGGAAGGGATTTCTTCAAGTTTGCAACAAAACCATGAATCCATTGCTATAATTTATCCATAATTCAGAGCAAGCTAGTCTCTGAGCAGCAGCTGGTGGTCCTTCATGGATAGCTGATGGATAAAGCAAGAATTCAGTGGTTTTCTACTCTTGACACCAGAGCAACTGTAAAAATAGGATCTGATTTTTCTTTTTGGCAGGGAGGAGACAAGCAAGTTTGCAACAACAGCTGCTTTTGCTTTAGCTAGTGTAGAGAGCCAGATTGTCTTCTTACTAGTATGTTCTTTCTGGGAAGCAAGGTATACAGTCCCCCAGTGGCCCTTGGTGACCTTGGCAAATGGATAAGGACAGAATGTGCAACCACTTAATTATCCAATTCTTGGACAACTGCTAATTGCAGCAACATGTTTTATACGATATGGAGACATGAAGAAGATATGAAGAATACAGAATGCCTTCAGAAGGACTTTTTTTTTTGCAGAGTGAATGCACATTGTTTTCAAGATATTTAATCTAATTTTGTTACCATAAGAAGTATGAAAATGAAATTAGCAATGACACCTAATACAGAGAAAGATAAAAAGTAAAGTTGATTGACCAAGATTACAAGCTCAAATGTCAGTTTGTAATATGTTGGAAAGGATGGCAAAGTGTTTTATTTCTCCTCCCTTATTACATCAATAGGCTGTTGATCATCATCCTTGTTTAACATAGCAAATTCACTATTAAAGGAAGATGAATGGAAGCATCCCCAGTGATCACTGTGACCATTTTATTCAACATTTGTTGACTAAGTCACCCAGATTCATCAGACTTGACTTCTACTGGGCAGAGTCTGATTTGGTGACTGTGGCATCATTTAGTTCTGTTATTTGAGATTAATTCTGGTCTGCTGACTCCAAGGAAGTAAATATGACCCTTGCTATTTGAAAGAATTATTCATGCTCCTCCTAACTCCCCTTTATTGATTATACTCAGTTTGATATTGCCAACCTGCAGTGCAACTGGAGATGGCACCTATCCCAATTCAGGATGTTGCTACAATCTGGATGGTATGAAAGATGCTAAAGTTGAATCCTAGCAAAATGGAGTTACTGATTGTCCTTTGTAGTCTTCTGTTCATTCCATTCTTGTTTCCTGACGGGTAGCATCACCCTTGAGGAAGTAGGTCACAGTTTGTCAGTCCTTCTGCACTGCTGAATGATCAGTGGAGGTTATAAATAGGAGAAGCGTTCCTCAACTTCTCCTGGTATGTAGCAGCTGCGGCCCATTCACCCCCATGATGGTAGACTTGGGCAATCTGTTGTAGATGGGGCTGCTTTTGAGGATCATTCAGAACTATAGGTGGGTGAAAATGCAATGGCCCACTTGTTGACTATTGTTAATCTCTATTACACTTATTTTGCATTGGTTCCCAATAAGTTTCCGGAAGCAATTCCAAGTGTTAGTTTTCACTTTTAAAATCTTGTATGGCTTACCATCCGTGTACTTGGAGGACCAACTATTGTTAACAGATTTGATCTGTCCAAAATGTATGAAATTTTCCCAGAGGAAACAGTTTATGGTACCCTAATTTTATGAAGTGAAAGGGGTTGAGGCCAGAATGTGCACTTTTTTAGTCATGGTACCAATGCTATGAAACACCTCCTTCTGCAAGCCCCTCTTGGTGAAGGCCATTTAGGAATTAATGAAGACTGAAACTTCTTATAGTGAACGACTGTTGTTAATATGATGATATTAAAACAATAAAGTATATAATTCTATTTGATTAATGCAATGATTTGCTTCATTATTTTTAATTGTATATATATTAACTTAATTGTATTAGTTGAAAGCAAGATGGAAGAGCATAAGAAACTAATGGAGAAGAAAGATCTAAAGATTTTAGAACTAACTAAACAACTGAAAGCTCAAGAAAAGGAAAAGCAGAATGAGATAATCAAATTACAAATAGAGGTATGCCATTCATGACAGTCTGAGAATATTCCAGAATAACAAGAAATATGCTACATTAATAAATTATAAATTGTGGATCAAAATCAAAACATTGCATTTTACAAAATTAAAAAAAAAACACCTGACAAGGAATAACTTTAAGGTAGAAATTGATACGATTTCAGTATGCATTCATATTACATTTTTCATATTTCATCATTTTCAGTTCAGATTCATTTTTGCCAGAGTTGTCACAAAGAATATTTTCTCTTACTGACTTGGGATCAAAACATCAGTGAAGATACCTCAGGAATGGTGTCTTTCTAGTCTGTTGCAATTTGTGCTGAGATTTATTTAAGGTTGAGAATGACAGGGAAATTATTACTGTTTTTCATTATTACATATAGTTTCTATAATTGTAAAAAGTATTTTGCATGCTTAGAATTATTAGTTCATAACCTCTTTTATTAGCATGTGCAGTGCCATGAGATTCTGCACCACAGATTATTGGGTCTCAGATTGTAAATTAACATGATTCAGGATAAACTGGAAGCTGACTGGACAAGAGTCAGTGAGATCACCAAAACAATGTCTTGCCTAGGTGGTTTTTAAGCCAGTGACTTCTGAAGAAGTTGACAGGGTTCTCTGTAACTTTAGTTCCTTTACTTGAATACCTGACCCCTGCCCTTTTTGGCTGGCTGAAGCAATGGTGGGGGAGAAGAAATGTGGATCCAAACAATTGCCATGAAGGAAGGAGTAATGTTGAGGAAGGAGTAATGGTCATCTACTGTTTGAATGAAATATCATTGGAGTGCAGATGATATCCAGTTAATGTTAGTAAATAAATTCAACATTAAAGTGGCGAAAGTATGTTTCTTGTTTCATGTTTTGATTCCTTTTTTTTCCAGAATGTAGTAAAAGAAGTTATTTTAAGTATTTTATGCTCCATAGTACTAAAAGAAATGTATTCATGCCTTCAAGAGTTTGTGTTGATATCATAATTTTGATAGTTTATTACAGACATGTCAAACTCGCAACATCAAGTGACGTCGCGCAATGTATCAGGCTGGTTTTGCCATTGCCGGCAATGGGGTGGGCACGGCTTCCAGATGACGCGTCTGGCCCGTGGGCCGGCAGTTTGACACCTCTGGTTTATTAGGATTACAGCCTTAAATATCTTTCTCTCTTTGTTCTTATTGTTGCACTTTTCCCTCATCACTTTCTACAAAGTCTTCAGTTCTGAGCAGTAAACAAAGACATGACCCAGTCAATTAAGATGCCTTTAATCACATTGATTTTGTATGTGTTACTTTTATGCTTTGCTTTTCTGCATTAAACTTTGGGGAAATTCTCTTTTTACATTATCTTTGTAACAGCTCTCTAAAACCAATAATACCATGTGATGGTAATGAGTCAGTTTTACTCATTTGCACTTCATGGCCAAATGGGAATCTGTTTTCCCTGTGTTAATGTAAACATCCTTAGCCAAGAGTTGCTTATACATTACTAAAATAGCATTAATTGCAAAGAAGCTTTTTCTTTTGTTTACATTATCAATACACTAGCTCTTTTTTTAACAAAATTTCAGTTCAATACTAAACTGGAAAGGCTGCAGACCAAAACACTGAAAGTACAGGCTAACCCCACAGCACTCCCTCAAAATATCTATAGAAAGGTAAGTGTTTTATTGTTTTCCTAAATGTAAAGTGGTTTAAAAGTTAAGATGTTTTGACTGCAGATATTTTGGCCTACTCTGTTTACATGTAGTCACATATGTGAGATGGGCAGCTATATCAATTTACCAGATAAAATAAAAATTCTGTTTTAACAGTGTCTTATGCTGGGATAAGAGTGAGGAGAAAACATCCCAAAGAGCTATTTCAAAAGAAAGAGATGTTCAATAAATGCTTCTCTCATCTGAGATTCACTTGCAGGAGGAGGTTGCCTGCAAGTCATCCATTTATTTCATAGCCCTGAAAAAATGTACAAGGCTCCTCTGTAGTTTCACATTTTTTAGCATTGATAGTTCATTTAAACCTAAACCTTTTCCTAAAGTAAAAAATTGGGAAATACAATTCCTCTCAAATTTAGTCACCTATAAATTAGTTACCATTCACTGGGGCCCTTTCCACACAGAACAAAAGCATGACTGTTAGGATGCCATTAAGCATTTATGCAGCATTTCAGGTACAAGCTTCCCATTGGTGTGAACTCCAGCCTTAAGCTACTTGCCTTTCTCATTCCCAGTTGATTTTGAGAGGCAGAGCAGCTAGCTGGGTGTTAAGTTTTCATTTTCTCCTGCCACAGAAAGCAAACCTGGTAATGCAAAATGGAGACAGAGGCACTGGCTAGGATGGACTTTTTTATGCTTGTTCATTGGCCACCTGAAGAGAGCAGATTTAGTGATGGGTTTAGCAGGTGTCCCTCATGTAGTAGCTCTATAGAATGTTTGAATGCCAGGGGCTATGGATAAATGCCCTTTATTCTTTTTGTCTGGCAGGGCCACTGACTTGAGTTGTATTTGAGCAGTTGGACAACTAAACTGAGGTGGAAAAATAATTGAATAATTGAAATTATGTAACATATTTTGCATTATTCCCTCTATGCAAATACTCACCAGGAATCATTATCCCCATGCTTTACTAAACAGCCTGGTTTTGACTTGTTTTATCTTAGTTATTATCAGATCAATCTGATTTGACCACTTTGATCATAGCTCAGTACTGTTCTATAATCTGCACAGTATGCAGTATTGTCTGATCTAATCTTCTTAAATATTTTAGAATAATTTAGAATAAAACATATTTTAGAAGATTTTAGAATAATTAATTATAATTTTCTTGTTTTATTTGTTGGTCTATGACAGAATAGATTTCTGATTCCTAGAAACTAAGTCATGAAACATAATATCTCTGAAGCATCTCAATTTATGTACATATATGCATTTCTAGGCATATGGATATACATACATACTTTTTAATTTATAGGTATAAGAGGATATATATTTTTTATTTATTTGGTTTTGTAGAAGCTGCAGCATCTTCAAGAAGAAAAGAATAAAGAAACTGAAATTCTTCGAAACATTATCAAAGACTTAGAACAAAAGCTTGACAAACGTAAAGATTGCTATTATAAACTGCAACAATTTTGAGAATAACATGAGACCACAAGTTTTACTGAGGAGACAGAACTGAATGAGCGATACACATTGAATTTATGGATATTTTCATTTATTAAAACATATTATTTCTCCATCTGCAAGCTCTCCAGTTGTGCATACTGAACTACTTTCCCTCTTGTAAGCATTCACCATAAAAGAATTCAGGTTTTATAGGGGTATGATTTCCCTACCAAACCATCATGAATTATGACAAACACAATCCTAAAGAATTTCCCTCTATTGAACATTTTCTTTCCGCTCTAGAACTTGCAAAAATTCAGTTAATTTCAGAAATTTCAGAAACAGATATTATTTTGCTACATAAAAATAGACATTATATAAACATGCCTCCTATACAAGATTGTCCAAATCACTGGTTAGCAGAACAGATGGTTAAGAGCAGATTTTAAATTTTATGACCAGATACTTATGAAATTGAAATTAGTATTCGTTTCATCCCATCCCATCTCTCTCACTTCATGTTTTGAAAGACTGTTATCCCAAATTTCAAACGAACTGTGAGAGTGAACAGTTTCAGAAACGCAGAAATTGATTTTAAAAGGTCTTGTTATAGGACTCACAACTTATAACATTAAATCTAATGTTAGACTAGTGAATTCTGCAAACTTCTTGATGAAAATATCTGGTTAGAATATTATGCACAGAATTCTATACAATTATCTTAAATGGCTTTAGAGTTTGGGAGAAAAACATTTTCATCTATTCACTTGGGTCTTAACCTATAATTGTAAAACATAGTTAGCAAATCTTTTCTTATCCTCTCCTGTTCTGATTAGCTCCGTATCCAACAAAAGCCCCTAGGTCATAGTTTTTGCTCCTGTTTTCATGAATGCAAACAGAATGGTAGAAGAGGAAATCAAAAAGACAAGCTAACAAACACCACAGACACTTGGAACTGGCACTGAGAAACAATTCTATACCATTATGGGAAAGTTTTGTTCTTACCGTTTAAGGCAAAATCAGATGACAAGGACTGTATTCTGAATCAGTAAAATCAGAGCACATAACTACAACTGAATAAATACAGCTGAAATGCAAGAACTCTTGCTTAACTGACAGATGTAAAGATTGTTTTTTCTTTCCTCCCCAATAATTCACATAATGGTATGTGTGCCAGGAAGATTACTGCTGAAATGCATTCCTCTGCTTTAATGCCTTTTGGCCACCTATAGCAAGGGTTTCCAACAACTTTGGCAGAAATAGTAGGACCAATTTCAAATTATTATGGAATGCATTCCAAAGTCTGCAATCTTCCCTAGGTGTTTAGACTGTTCCTCAGGCTCAGTCGTCCGGTCCAGCTCACTGTCAGGTTTCACCCCTTCTTGCTGCTGGTAACAGTCAAGCAGCTGTTGGCAGACGTCACTGTCAAGACTCAGCTACGTTGTCTGCCAACAGCTGCCCTTGTCACCGTCAGGAAGATGGGAGCTCTCCACGACAATGTCAGGAAACTGTGCTTTGCTGTTCTTCAAACAACAAGCGGCGACAGTGTCAGCATCAGCTACTGGAGACAGGGCCTGTCAAGTGCTGCCAGTTTCAGCTTAACTGGTGTTTGCAGATGCCACCCCCCCTTTGTCAGAGCCTGTCTCCTTGCAAAGGGACAGCTGCTGCAGGTTCCTGGCCCAAGACTCTGCGGTTATGCTGATCGTTTATTGCTATCAAATGTTGATGATCCCCTTCGTGATGATGTCCCTGAGGATGGTGATGAGGATGATGTCCATGATGATGGTGATGATGAGGGTGATGATGATGGGGATGCTCACGGGGAGACAGCTGTGAGGCAGAAGAAGGTGCCTCGGTTTGCTTTTCTTCTGGATTCTCCCAGATTCTTTTACATATTTCTTCAATTTCAGATGTCTGAAAAAAGTTCAGACAACATGGTCAGAATTTCAACCTGTTCTCATACAGTATGTCAACACAAAATGTAAGCAGAAAAGTATAATCAGTTTAAAGAAAATGTAATTAAACCTAGTATTTCTGCTTAAAATCACAATTATCACAAAGTGATCAGCTTCTCTCAAGACTATTCTTGTCCAAGTCATTTCTAAAGTGCCTTATGCTTAGATCAGCATGAGACTCTTACTTTAGAAAATATCCAGCTTGTTATAATTCTCTCATCATACAAAAGCTGTGAGAGAGTCCTAGTTCCATTTGATGTTGGTTATTTACTTGATTACTTTGCTTCTTTCTCAAGGAATTAAAGACAAGGTATAGAATATAACTTTATTACAAAGATCTGGATCTTATACATGGGTTTAATGGCAAGTTAGTTGTTCAGTGGCAATCCAATCATTTTGCAGTTGGGAAATGCTCACAGGTCTTCATTTATGGGAATGTTTTTTTCTAAATTAAACAACTGGACAGTAAATGCCTCCCAGGATGAAGGATACCACAGGGAGAATGAAATCTGTATAGATATACCTTATCTGGGTTCCTATCTTATACTCAATCACAACTGAAGTTGAGCTTAGCATGTTATGTGAACTAATGGAATTTTAGGATTGGAAGGCTCCCAAAGCAGGAGTCTTCATACCATCTCAGATAAATGGTTGCCCAATCTTTTCTTGAAAACTTCCAGCAATGGAGCACCCATAACTCCAGGAGGCAAACTATTCCACTGCTTAATACTTCTCCCCATCAGGAAATTCCTCCTTATTTCCAGGTTGGATATCCCTCTGAGAAACTTCTACCCATTGCTTCTTTTCCTACCCTCAGGTTACTATCAGGAATAAATTGACACTCTCTTTCCTGTGACAGCCCTTCAAGTATTGGAACACTGCTATCAGTCTTCTCTTTGTTGACTCAGCCACTGTGACTTAATAAATCATAATTAATGATACCATTAGTTATATATATTTATTTTTTCTTGAAGAAAGCTAGCAATCTATTTTGTTTTGGAATAAAAACATTTGGAAAAAAATTAATTATTTGCTAAGAAGTTATACAATTCTTAGAAATTACCAAAAAAAATAAAATAAAATCAGTGGTTATAGGTTCAGTACATTTTTAAATTTTCATTTAATCAGCTTTTCTTTTTCCTAGACACTTCTATACAACAGCAAAAGGGAAAAAAATGAATACGTACTGTGTATGAGCAATTTCCACAAGTTTCTTTACAATAGGTGATCTGAATAGCTTTCTCTACAAATGGAAAACTCAGGAAAGAAACAGGTAAGCCAAGGTGATAAACAAGACGGCCACACCTAGGAAGAAAGTGAGCCAGTTCTTAATAGCAATGCATTACTATATTTATGAAGAAGAGTTTTACAAAACTAAAAAACAAAAGATTTTTTGCATCTTGAGTTTCTTGTCTTCTGTTGTGATTCCCAAAATCTATTGTCTAGGAGATTCTCAGTCATCCAGGTCACAGTTATCCCAAAGATGCTTTTTCACGGGGCAACTGGACTTTCTTGTTTTTCTTTGAAGACGTTTTGCTTCTCATCCAAGAAGCTTCTTCAGCTCAGACTGAATGGTGGGGAAGCTGAAAAAGTTTCTTGAATGAGAAGCGAAACATCGTATTATAAGAAAACTGTGGATTGGGGTCAGACTAGCGCTGCTGTAGCAGCACTATTACAGTAATCCTAATCCTTTATCTTCTGCTATCTATTTTTAATGGATAGGACTTCTTTGTCTTCTTCTGAACTTTCCTACCTTTCTGAAAGCAGAACAGTGATAAACCTCATTAAAATGGACCTGATAAAGCCCATTAACGGAAAGGGCTCACATGAAAGAATGCATCTCCCTGCAAAAAGTCCCATGAGTTGGGAAAGCAGCAAACCAGGGGAAGGGAAATGTAAAGTGGGAACTCATGTGCACATTCATTTAAGTAGCCTAAACCACTTTGGGGCAAAATAAACTATTTGTGGGTTTGGGTTTTTTGTTGACTCTGGAAATTGCCTGGACAATTGCAGTTTTTTTTGACAAGTTTTTGGAAGGGGCTTGCCATTGCCTCCTACCTAAGGCTAAGAGAAAGTGACTGGCTTAAAGTCAGCCAAATTACTAATGCCCAAGTTTCTTCCAGTTTTTAGCCTGATGCTTTAATCACCAAACCAAGCACATATCACATTGAAGTAGCCAACCAGGTTCATATCTTATGTGAGCCTACCCAGCTCACAGAGTCAAATGAATGGAGAAAACCACTTTAATGTACTCTGAATCTATTGTGCAAATAGAGGCACAGAGCCTCTAATGCAAAACTGTAGGATGCCATCTAATCCAAATAAGCTTCATGTGCTTTCAAAATACAGAGTATCTAAGAAATTCTAATCCATTTGATTTGTTTTATAAACAGACCTGTCGTAAATCAGGAAATCATCTTTTTTGCTTCTTAAAGTAGTCCAGACATCAGGTTGTGTTGCATTCTGTTGGTATACAGGAATGTCTTCTGGAACTTTTTCTCTTAGAAGTTGGTACTTCAGCTGGGAAGAGTTTCCTTGGTGATTGACCACAATGAAGGAGATATTGACCATTCCATTACTTGCCAGCTTCAATTGCAGGTCTCCAAGTCTAATAAGTAAATAACATTTTATGCATTCATTTTATTCCCTTTGGAAAAGCAGAATTTGCTTGGAATGGGCATGTTATCTACAATTATCTAAGTTGATACTACAGAATTAGGAGTCTTACTACTATACAATCAAACAATACAAATAGATTTGAAAAGTCACAGCAGCTTTCACACCTGGACCAAAAACAAAATAAACTAATCTGTTAGCCTGGGAGCAATTCCTAAGAAACATGTCAAATGCAATAGGGTGGACAGTCACTAATTTTTCAGAAAACAACTTTGGGATTAAATTCAAAAATGAAAAGACGTTATTATTGAAGAAGGCAATATCAATAGCACTTAAACTTATATATTGCTTCACAGTGCCTTACAGCCCTCTCTAAGCGATTTACAGAGTCAGCATATTGCCCCCAAACAATCTGGGTCTTCGTTTTACTGACCTCAGAAGGATGGAAGGTTGGTCTTGAGCCGGTGAGAATTGAACTGCCAAACAGCTGGCTGTTGGCAGTCAGCAGAATTAGCTTGTAATACTGCATTCTAACCACTGTGCCACCAAGGCGTTTTGTTCTTACAAATTGTCACATGGAGTTGTTTAACAAAGCCAGAATGAAAGTTTCAGCCAAAAATAACTGTAACGCAATAATTCTGGCAATCAAGCAAAAGCTATTGTGCCAGACATCTTAACTTTTTTTTTCCTCCCCAGAATAGCTGAATAAAGACTCCTCTTGCTTTAAGAAACAGATCCCAACAGAGTATCCATTTATGTACAACTAGCTGTACCCGGCCACGTGTTGTTGTGGCTCAGTCTGATTAAATGGAAAAGAAAGAAAAGAGAAAGCGCACGTTTGTAACATGTTTAATTTCACAATGCTTGTGGGTATACAATATTTTTTGTTGTTCCATTGCCTGTGCAGATATAGAGATTGTCTGGTTTGCTTTTACATCCAACAGATGGCGCTGTTTTTTTTAAAAAGCATGTTTTTACCTGTCACACGTGTGACATCTATATAATAGTAGGTATATAAAAACACGCGCGTATTCGAATGCAACGTTGTGTCAAAATTTCAAAGCAATCGGTGAAGAACTTTCAGAGATTTAAGATTTTGAACAAACGAACATTTACATTTTCATTTATATAGATTGCATATTTGAGTGGTCCTTACCTGGAAGCCTGCAAAAGGCACAGGTATCAGCTAGCCTGGAGTAGAGCAACCACTGTCACCGACCCTCTTGAGTTCATCATGGGATTTTCTTCCCCAATGTTCCATTCTGGAGGTTCTTTACAATCACCCAGATGCTCTGATCCTCCTCCTGGGAGGAGACAGAGGATCAGAGCTAGCCCTAGCCCAGCCCACATGGCTGGACGTTGCCTGCAAAGCAGAGAAACAAGTTAAGGAAGAAAGCTAAAGACTGTAAAGTATCACACAGCCTGCCCTGTGCCCTGACTCTTTCAGAATAGTAGCACCAACAGATTCTGAAAACATGGGGCATCTCTTCTCTAAAATTATTGGGTACAAATTAAAGCTACACCAAATAAGCAATTAATTTGCCAAGCCAATTTAGTGTAGTGCTTAAAATGCTGGTCTAGAAACCAGGAGACAGTGCTTCCTAGTCCCACCTGAAGCCAGCTCAGCCCAACCTACGTACCTCAACAGGGTGGTTGTTGGGAAAATATGAGGAGGAAGGAGTATTATGTATGGTTGCTGCCTTGAGTTACTTATAAAGTAATAAAGGCAGGATAAAAATCAAATCAAAGTGACCAAGAATTTCCTATTTTAAAATAATTTTTCTACTCAATAATGTTTACCATTGGAAGAATATGTTTTTGCCTATGAAAAGTATTTTTTTCTTCGATCTATTGTAAAATTTCATGTTTCTGGGTTAATAGGCTCAAGGAAAGTGATATGTTGTTTGGGGCAAATGAAAACTGAAAACCTAAGGGACAGAAAAGCTTTGCCATGAAAATAAGATTTTTGAATCTGTTTACTCAGAAATCACTGCAGAGTTGCACTTTACATTACAGAATGTAAAGAATGTAAAGGGTTCAATTATTCTAAACGGATGATCTACTACAAAGCTACCAGAAATCAGGTTTCTAGTAGCATCAGCTCAGATTAACAACTTTTGTCTGAAAAGGTGCTGTAAAACTACTCCTAATTTCGGGCTCCCATATAAGTACAATGTGAACCGCGTTTGTCTGAGTGACAATGCAATCCTGCACATCTATACAATATTTAATTTAATTGCCATTCTCGTTTCCCTTTTTTCCTCCGGCAATTCTAATTAGAACACGAGTTGATGAAAAGCTGTATTTACATACAGTACAAAACAAATATTTTCTTACAGGTCGCACACCTAAGCTGGGAGTAGGCATCTGATAGTGGAGCACGGCAGTATTACACAAGTGTGTCATCGGAGCTTGTACAAATACACAATCGTAATCGTACTTCATGCCAAAAAAAAAAAAAAAAAAGGGCTGCAGTCCTCACTATACATGAACGAGGGAGCAAGCCACCCTGAATTCAGCGGGGGGTACTGCTGAGTGAAATTAAGATTAGCAGCCTCGCATCCCAAAGCATTAAATCTGTATTACATGCAACCTCGCTAGATAATTTATTTTTTTTTGAAGACTTGGATGCTTAACTATTTTTCAAACGAACCCCCCCGCCCAATACCCCACTCCCCGCTTGAATCGCTTGAACCAACTAAGCTTCCTAGGCTACATCGGTGCAGCGGGGTTGTGTGAACACAGCCGCGCAAGGGCGTGCAACCCAAACCGCAGCGTGTTTTGCAGGCGCGCGCGGATCTCAGCGTCTTAAGAGGAGGAAAATAGTTTTTTTTTTAATGCATTCAAAGCCCCTTTTCCCCCCTGCCCGGTTCAAAGCCACCTTCTGCAACTTCGGCGAACATTTCCAGGGGCGGACAAGAAACTTACCCCGCCGTTGCACCGCTCAACAGACGCCTCCCCACTCCCGAGCCTCTAGTTCGCTCGTCCCACTCGCTGGTATTTATACCCTTCGAGTTGTTGTCTCCGAATTTGGATACCGTTCAAAGTTCGACGATTCTCGCGACGTCTCCGAAGAAACCCAAAGCCTGGGGCGAGTCAAGGGCGGGGACCCCGGGAAGAGCAGCAGCCCCCCAAAAGCGAAGCCAAGCCTGGCGACTTCCCTGCTGCGCGCAGGGCCCAAGTCAGAGGCGAGGGGGCTTCACTTCGGCTTGGCCGCAGCGAAAAGGGAGGAGGGATGTTTTTTTTGTCTTTTCTTAGTCCAGGGGTTCTCTCAACCTTGGCAACTTTAAGACTTGTGGACTTCAACTCCCAGAATTCCTCAGCCAGCTTTGCTGGCTGAGGAATTCTGGGAATTGAAGTCCACAAGTCTTAAAGTTGCCAAGGTTGAGAACCCCTGTCTTAGTCCCTGCACAGTTCCTCTCGAGGGAGACTCCCAACGTTTATTTTGGTATCCAAAAGCAGATTTTCCGCTACAGTACAAGCAGCCTGAGCTGAAGTCCCAAAGCTCAACGCCGTCGGAGAAATGGGGTCTCAGGACTGGCGGGCGTGAAGCTGTAACCATCTCCCTAGTCCCCAACCTGGCGCCCAGGGGCACCATGGCCCCTGAAGCCATCCCTTTTCTAGTCAGGGAGCTCCCTGCCTCTCTTGGTTTGTATTTCAAACATGATTTGTTGTAAAAGCGTGAAGCAATCCAGCTGTGCGCCACTGTTTATTTCCAAGAATGCCTCTCAACTCCATAAGCTGCCTACAGTATCCCGGCGATAGGCGGCAAGTAAATTTAATAGATAATGGCAGTTGTTTTGGAAATGGATACCTTATACTGACAGCCACTTCATAAATGGAACACTCTTCCCCCCAAAACCCACTCTTTTTGCATTAATAATCATAGTATGTTCTAAAATTGTAAATGTGCCACCCCCCCATCCAAAAGAGTGGCTGGGCTCATACCTTAACGCTAGGCCATAGAAGTGCTGGTTTGGTATTGTATAAATTCCAGGTAACCATAATTAATTCAAAGAACCACTTTGGATTAAGGTTTAAATCAGTAATGTGATAGCATGATGTGTGAATCATCTGCTATTAGCATGTTCAGCAGTATACAGTATATACTGTACACATAATGACCAGCAATGGCCAAAGAACTAGGAGTAGAGAGTTGCTTCTGGGTATGAATTTAGTGTTAGTGTTAGTGCTCTTCTGGTAGAGAAGCTTTTCCAGATTTAGTAATTGAAGTGTTGCACCACAATTCTCATAATTGAGCAACTTCCCTATGGGAATATACTGTAATCCCAAATCTCTGGAGGGCATCAGGTGGGGAAGCTTTTGTTGCAATGTATGTTGGTGACTAGCAAATATGAACAGGCAATGTGATGTAATGGTGAAAACAAAAGACAAATACAGTTTTAAGGTATATCAACAAGTGTATAATTTTTGAATCTCAGGAGGGGAATCAATCCACTATATGTTGCATTGTCCAGGTCCCTTCTTGAGAAATGGATCTTGCTCTGGGATCTAGTGATCGCCACTAGATATGTATATTCCAAGAAGGAGAACAAGGAAGAACAAGGGAAAGAAACCACATCCCATGAAGATAAATTGAAAGATCTGCAGGCATTTAGCCTTGAGAAGGTGGAAAGAGACATGATTATACCATGTTTCAAAATGTAGTGCATACTGTTATGAGATAGAAACAGGGCTGCTTTTAGAGTGAAAGTTGAAAGTTCTGACATGATAGTTTAATATTAACCTTCCAAGCAGAATGACTGCTGGCAGTTCCTAACTATACTTTTTTTTTTTTGAAAAAAAATAAATATATAACTCTTATGTTTTAAAAGAGTCTCCCCCTTAAGTGCTTTCATGAATGTATCTATGGAGATTCTCAGTCATCCAGGTCATGGTTGTCCCAAAGATGCTTTTTCAGAAGGCAACTGGACGTTCTTGTTTTTCTTTGAAGACGTTTCGCTTCTCATCCTAGAAGCTTCTTCAGCTCTGACCGGATGGTGGGGAATGGAAGGATTTATATTCCTTGCAGATAGCTGGTCATTTGCATTCTTTTAGAGAATCCGGTCAGAGCTGAGGAAGCTTCTTGGATAAGAAGCGAAACATCTTCAAAGAAAAACAAGGAAGTCCAGTTGCTTCCTAAAAAAGCACCTTTGGGACTTTTATTAATGTAATTGCAGCAAATGTTGTTTTTGTAAGAACAACTCAATTGGCATGATCAAATATTGACACTCAGATCAACAGTTCAGGGCTAATAAAACACACAAGATGGTAGCTCAGTAACAGATAAAATGCACGTTGAAAAATGACAGGGATTGTACAAGGTACACATCATGGTTCATTACACCATGACATACTCGGTGTACTTTTTTGGGTTTGCTCAACACATATGGCTCGCAGTTTGGTGATTTAGTAGCTGCTTCATTCACAACACATGCACACAACCTGCTGTCTGAATTAGCCTATTTTCTGTGTGTGCATAATAATAGTAACAATAAACTAACTGAACAAGTTGGATTTGTACAACATACTGAGCAACAAGTACAAATAAATAAGGTTTACAATAACCAAGCTTGGAATGCACAAATGCATAGTTTAGATTAGGGGTGTCAAACTGCCAGCCCACAGTCTGGATCATGGTAAAACCGCGCCCACCCCATTGCTGGCAATGGAAACAAAGTCACGATACGTCGCGACATGTCATGTGACGTTGTGAGTTTGACACCCCTGGTCTAGATTTTTACCTGGCTGTGTTTAGAGCACTGTGGGATCATAGCATGAGGTTTAAATATAGCTTGTATCAGGTTATGTCCAGCATTCAAGCATAAGTGACAATACAGATCTCAGCATTGAAAATAAGCTTCAATCTTTTCATTTGGCATTATTTGATCAACGTATCTGTGATTGAGCTAAGAATGGTTTATTCAGTTAATCCAGTTGGGGGAATTCTTAGGACAATGAAGCATTAACTATCTTCCAAGGCTGGCTTTGCATAGCACACTAAGCTATTGCTGATAGACCACCTTCTGCCACAGTGTGCTATGGAAACACAACACAGTAATCTAAAATAGCCTATCAGCCATAAAGCCATTTACACAGTGTAAGCCACTGCAGTCTTATCAGTTTTGTATTTGCTGAGCAAAACATGATTAGGGGTTTATGGGTTGGTTAAGATGACCTTGCTGGATCCCTTTCAACTGCCAGAAGAGTATTGCGCCTACTCTGAAGCAATTATCACTTAAGTCAGGTGGAATCTGATATACTGTAATAACACTCCTAACATTCTCTAAAGATGTTCAGGGACCTACAATGACTCAAATGACTAGTTCCTCCCACCCAACCTTGGCTGTCAAGAGAAAGGAGTGGTTGAAGTCTGTGAATACAGCTGGCTTCCAAAAACATGAAAAAAGGGGCAGGACTTTCTGGATGGGAAGCCAGTCCTTCCACATTTTATCCTACCATCTTTGCCTAACTCAAATAGCACAAGAGCAGACTGTAGATTTGCCGAGTAGTTTTTTTTTTTTTAATGCTGTGTTTTCAAAAAAAATTAAAATAATTCTGAATGATCTGGAAATGGGGGAGATAAACATAGAGCCCTTGTCATGGTCAGATCATGCTCTCCTCAGGATGGACTTCCGGACCGCTTCCCCCCGCCGCAGGGAGACGGAACCGCCTAGATGGTTCCGTCCCAGGCGCCTGATGGACCCGGAGCGGTTTCTGACGGAGCTTGGGCCATATCC